ACTTTGACATTGCAGGCACCCTGGTGGTGAAACAGTTTATTGTAGGGAGACAGTAAGTTGGCACGACCTGTCATGGATTATGAACAAACAAGCCTTTTTTCGTTTCTGTCTTAAAGTAATTTTCTTTTTTGCTATCTGAAACAGAAAATGAAACTCAAATCATTTTTAAAATTTTTTTTATCCCCTTGTGACACTAAGAATGAGAAACGCTTTGTATTTTAATTTCAATATTTTAAAACAAAATCAAATATCCACTTGTTTCTTGTTTTTTAATGCCCGTTTCTAAAATGAAAATCCAATGACCAAATGATATACTGACCTCGCGGTCAGTGTATCATTTGGTCATTGGATTTTCATTTTAGAAACGGGTATTAAAAAAACAAACGAGTGGATATTTGATTTCCGTTTTAAAAATCCTGAAATTAAAATTAAAATACAAAGCGTTTCTCATTCTTAGTGTCAAAAAGGGCTGAACGAAATTTTAAAAATGATGTGAGTGAAAAAGATTTTCAGTTTCGGATAGCAAAAAAGGAAACTAATTTAAGACAGAAACAAAAAAGGTTTGATTGTTCATAATCCATGATAGGTCGTGTCAATTTACTGTATCCTACAAGGGGTGCCTGCAATGTCAAAGTTATTCAATGAACATCCAATTACAAGGAAAAAGCATTGGTGTTGACTGCAGTATCAACTATATTTGGCAGTACTGCCCACCCTTCGCTGAAAGGAACACTCCAAAGACGCATACTGACAAGAAGACAAAAAAAAAAAAAAAGGCACAGATTTTGTCAAAACTCAGGAGGGAAAAAAAATCCTTAGTACTCACAGAACAACAATCMTACAACACACTAATGGAATGAAATTTATCTTATTTTGCTTTTTATTGAGAAAAATGGAGGTGAAGTGGAGGCAGTAGATGACATGTATTCAGTAAAAGAGWCTTATTTGGCCAAAAGCCARATGAATTACCTCTGCAAAGCTTTTGGTCACAGAGTCATCATACAACTCATTTATGGACACTTCTCTGTGTTTCAGCCTTTTATTTAAAGAAATTAGTGTTTCATTATGCAGAGCTGCCAGGCGAGGTGGTAGGGGAACAGATAGTTGTAGAATACAAATAAACAAGACTTTTTTTTTCTGTCTTAAAGTAATTTTCTTTTTAGCTATCTGAAACAGAAAATGAAACTCAAATCATTTAAAACTTTTGTTTATCACTTTTTGACACTAAGAATTGAGAATGGCTTTTTATTTTAATTTTAATTTCAGTATTTTAAAGCAAAAATCAAATATCCACTAGTTTCTTGTTTCTAATACCCGTTTCGAAAATGATTTTCAGTTTCGATGACCAAAAGATACACTGACCTCTCGTGCTCCCAGCACATTTATTTATACTGAGAAAGCTGGTCAACTAAAATAATRGTAACTCCATGATTTTTTTCCACATGATTTGGTTTAATACAAACAGCAGAGATGTAGTTATGTTACTGGACAATGGTCACACAATGAAAATAAGAGCTTTCATGCTGAAATACTTTGCTTTATTCCCTTAAATTGTTTCTTAAATTGTCTTTATTGTCCCTCTGGTTATATTCAGGTGCATCAGCAGCTAAGTGACAGGAAATTCACACAGGGTGAACATATTTTGTGTGAATAACAGGGCTCTAGAGCAGTGGTCCGCAAAGTTGGGATCGGGACCCAAAGTGGGGTCCTGAAACATCAAGGTGGGGTCCTGAAAAGACTTTCTAAGTTAATTACATTTTTG